ATTTCTTTAATTTCTGTATTTTTTGTTTATGAGTAATGACAAACATGTCAAAAAACAAAAACAAAAAAACTTTTAACTTGGGGAAAAAACAAAAACATTTTAGTATGTGAGTTCAAACATCGAATTCCTGTGTTTGAGAATGATCATTACTATACCGACATAACACCCAACTGATGTATCAGTCTATAACATTGCTTGTAAAATTATCTGATACGGTATGGTTTTTTAGTATACCACTATTCATTTTATATTACGCAAAAAATGTCGGGTACATCAAAATCAGCGCATCAGATTGGAAACATTATCAGCAACGAGAGTTCAACAGTGCCTAATATTAATGTCTCGCATACCGCGGAAGTATATGTTATTTTCATCTCGCAGCTCTGTGCCCATTTTTCTCCTTATGCGTGTTTCACATATATTCTTTACATATTTTAACACAAGATGTACATTACTATATTTAGAACAAGATGACCGAAATTTCTAAATACTACTAGGAAAGAACTACGAAATAGCTACAATAATTGAGAAATCAAATAATCAGACCGACTTACATTCAATTTGACATGATTATTGAATAGTAAGTGGATAGTTGATAGTTGTTAAACAGAGTGATAAATCAGAAATATTTCCAGGAAATGTACCCACTATTTTGATTCTTTGTTCAATGTCTCATTCACAGTACCACACAGAGGAATATAACTTGTTAAATCAAAGTATAATGATGATATAATTGGATGACTGTAGAAAAGTTAATGACACCTACTAATGACAGCTCATTTCCGCTGTGTATAATTAGCATATAAATTAGCATGTCAGTTTAATCTAAAGTTCTATTGAATAATTACCAATTAATGTAAACATCTAATATTTCAGTTCAAGTATATGTTTCGTCGTGAATGTGAAGATTAAAAACACTCTTTTCACGAAAACGTAGAATTCATTTGCAACAGAAATTAATCTGAATGTAGATTGTGATTGTATATTTATGCTTGGGGGCAATATGCATGTGACGTCCACAAATTATTTCTTTTGTTCGATTGTTCATTTTCATATATAATTATTTTC